GCAATAAAATGGAGAATATCTAAAGTAATGGTCTTTCAACTAAAATCCGTGATCATGGGTCATTTAACTCATCAAAATGTGCAATTATGGTCCTTTCGTCAACTCCGTTAGAACTTTCGTCAAAATGAGTCATGGTGGAAGGACCATTGTTATATGGGTTAAAATTAAGGGACCAGAGCTCCAATTAGGTTAAAGTTGAGAGACTATTTCTCCAATTGGATAAAAGTTGAGGGACCATTGCTACTTTCTCATTTGGGTTTCTATGTTTGCCCCTTTAATTCAGCTTCACGTGTGTGGCATGTGACTTATTTTGATGAAGGTTCTGATAAAGTGAATGAAAAGGACCATAGTTGCACGTTTTGATGAGTTAAGGGACAAATAATCACGAATTTTAGTTAAGGGATCATTACTCCAATCAGATTGAAGTTGAAGGACCATTACTACAATTTCCTCTTTTATCAAGATAGGTCTACTTGTACTATCTAACTGAGGCACTTTCCAATTCCATAGAGATTGATTTCATCTTAGACATCATCTCAACGGAACTTCCTATTCAGTTTCATTGCCACTCTACTTTGCTCGAGCTAGTTCTGTTGCCAAACACTCCTTTATTCCCACCACTATTTCACTCATGGTAGGCCTTTTGGTGGCATCTGCAGATACACATGCCATTGCTATTTCCAAAGCTTTCCAGCCAAAGCTAACATTGAAGTTCTTGTCCACTCTCGAATCAAAGATCCCGTTAATGTCCCCTTTTCAAGCAAGAAAGCAACCCAAGCACTAATGTGATCATGTGTTTTTGATAAAAACATGTTTACTAGTGATAATCTCCAACAACACAACCCCAAAGCTATAGATATTGCTTTTCTCATTTAACCTGTTTGATAAGTAGTACTGCAATATAGACCATGCAACTCAAGTCATTATCTTATGAATGTTTATGTGTAGCCATATATAATGATAGGTGAAAAAAACTAGGATTAAGTACTAAAGTCCCCCAATCTTTTAGTATAATTCCAAATTGGTTTCAACCTTTTAAAACTTTCCAAACAAGTACCCAACTTATTGAAAATGTCACATCCGTTAAGTTCCAGTTAAAAATCTGTTAAATTAACTAGACTTACTTTGTCTCCAAAATCAATAGAAGGTCATGGAAGCATAGTCTCCACCCAACTAATGGTTACCACAACCCTCATCATGCCATCACCTGTAAACCTATCGCAAAACCATCAACTTCACCCTACTACTCAAGCCACCAACTTCGAGACGAAGGTTATGGAGGTTGCATCATGGCATGGGCTGCCATGATGCAACACCACCATCTTCACCGCCCACAAAGAAAAACTAGAAGCTTTACGAGCCGGGAATCGGCGAAAGAGGAAACCATATGAATATAAACAAACTCCTTGAAACCCTATCTGAATTCTTAACCCTCTTCTTTATTAAGATATTGCCCTCCTAATGTAATTTTGATTTGGGTCCATTTCTGATTCAATTCAATACCGGTTTGATCATTGGGTTCCATATTATATAATCTATGTTTGAAATTTAGATTTTGGGGCAACTAATATTAATATTGTCCATGATATACCAAAGTGGTGGTTGAATAGAATCTATTTTTGAAAAATTAACTGGGCTTGACGGATGTGGCATTTTTATTGAGTTAGGTATTTGCTTAGAATGTTTAAAAAGATTGAGATCAATTTGGAATGACACTAAATGTTTTTTTTTTTTGGAAAGGAGGTTTAGGTACTTAATCCAAAAAGCTATATATAGATATATCCTTCTCTCTATATCTGGATCCTCTATCAGATTTTCTATCTAGCAGACAATACAAGGCTTTTAATCTTAACCGTTCACAATGATCTAATGTCTAGGAACTGTTTAAAGAAATTTTAAATATTTGCCAAACACTTAGAAGCGACTCCCAAACAAGCACTGAGAGCAAGAATTACTTACTAGGGGTCAAGGTGCCCTGGAGTTCTAGCAACACGCGTCGATATATGAGAACCGTCCTCCGTAAGAAAATTTCTGGACATTTAGAAATCAGATATTTTGGCTTGGAAACTTTCATTGAGTAATATGTTTGATGATTTCACATCCCCGTGGATTATAGGTGGCTTAAAACCATAGTGCTGATACTCCAATCCTGCATTTATAAATTAAGACATCACTTGCCAAAGATAATTGAGAAGATCATAGAGACGATATGCTAGCTAATTAAAAAAAGATTATGAAGTTGTAGACCTTGTGCAGCTTCTATTGCTACAAAAGTTCACAAGAAACGAAGTTAAGACGCTACGCATCTGAAAAGAAGAAAGCGGTACATATTCTCATTTATTCCGAAGTGCATGGTCTTTGTATTTAAGGGGAACAATTCCCTTTTGATGTCTAGTTAGGGGCATTTGTGGGACCATGATTTTCGAAGATCGAAGTAAGACGGATCGTAATACGCCTACCTCAGAAGTTCGGTTATGGAATCAACAGCCTCCATAGCGTTGCTGACTAAAAGGATGAACGATGCTACTATCGTCCTGCTTCAGAATCAGTGGGTGAGATCCATTGACTTTTTTCAGATAGACCATTCTTGTTCCACAAGATTTGGAAACCTAAGAGGATGCAATATCTACTTCCTAGATATCATCATAGGTTCTCCTGGTTTAATACATATTCTACTATCCTAAAAGGTCATCTCCTTGACTGTTACAAATACACCCTTCTAGGCTTCCTCTTTGGTAACACAATCACTACTCACTTATTATCTTACCTGCTTGAGTCTTAATATTTCTTACTAACTTGACCATCGGAGAGCCTTGAATTGGCACACCCTCGGTCCAGGGCTTACTCATGGTTGTGTGTTCCTTTACAGGTTATCAGATCTCGAAGTATATACAAAAAAACTTGTCAATTGGATCGTACAAACTAGTTTCGTAGAATGCGTTAATCATCGAAGGAATTTAATATGCCAACCCTATCACTCAATTTGCTCGATGGCTATAACACTTATGGGATGAAACAAAATCATAAATCCCAAAACCTAATTAAACCTTTGTGCGATGGATCCTTTTATGATTCATCGGGGAAGATTTCACACACTACGCACCATTTTTTTCCCTTGGCGCCAAATGTGTGCCCGACAAAAACTCTCTTGCCCAACCGACTCACTTTGCCACGGAAAGTCTCTGACAAAACCTAAATGATGACCAGTTTTTGCGGACCAAAATTTTGTCGGGTAAAATTCATTTACTTGACGAATTTTGGTTTGTAGGGCAAATAGTAATTTTTGGTAGTTTTTGCTAACCTAACGAGGTTTTAATGAGGCACCTACATCGGAATGGTCATACCCTTGTTTGCATTCAGGGGAAGAGTTAGGTTGACAAGTTGAAACATTTGTACGTGAAGAATTGAAAGACCGTGGGTTTAGGGGAGCACTGAAACAAAGGGGGAGAGTTAGGTTGACAAGTAAAAACATTTGTACTTGAAGACTTGGACCGTGGGTTTAGGGGAGTACTGAAACAAAGGGCAAGAGTTAGGTTGACAAAGTTGCATGTGCCACAAACTTACTGACTGGCACTTGAGCTCTAGGAAATCTTTAAATCACATTCAGACTGTCAAGTCACGAAAGTAAAAAAATTTAACTGTTTATGTGGAAAGTTTTGAAGAAAGTATTAGGCTCTAAGTGTTTGGATTTCTCTTGCAAACTAACATAAGAAGCTTCAATGAAAAATTAGTAACCTGTTGTATATTTTCATATGCTGGAGAAGTTTAATAGTTTCATGAACTTCTATGTACTCCATGTTCGAATTTCAAATCATTGGACGAAGATCTTAACAACCGTTGGGCTGTGGATCTGATATTTATAAGTATTTATAGTAGCTACTTAGTAATGATTACCTAACTCGTGTGAACTTATTGATATTGTGTTAAGATAAGGCTTCATGTCCCCCTTGTAGGAGTTTGAAACCCTTTTGTCTCACATTGGTCAACAATAATTTTTCACTAGCCATTATGTAGGCTTATTCCTTCTTCTTAGTAATTAGAACTTGGACCATTTGGAAATGGATTGAAGGCTTGGGTCTTATGGTTGTGTGGATTAGGCTTGAATATAATATAGCCTAAATACAATTAATATTATTTAATCAAGACAAGGGCCTTGGGCCTTATGGTTGCGTGGATTAAGCTTGAATATAATATAGCCTAAATACAATTAATATTAATTAGTCAAGACAAGGGCCTTAGGTTTTATGGTTGTGTGAATTAGACTTGAATATAATATAGCATAAATACAATTAATATTAATTAATCAAGACAAGGGCCTTTGGGCCTTGGAATTTAAAATTAATCAGATTCATTAATTTTAATTTTTGGATTAAGTTTTTAATTAATTTATTAATTAAAAAAACGTTTTGATTAAATAGACATAGCTATTAGAAAGAGTTGTGTACTTTCAAATACACTGAACAAGTATTTGAAAGGGTGTAAAACAACCTATATATTTGCAATCACAGTATTCAAGTGAGATAATCTTTTCTTCCTCTTTTTCTTCTGTACGAAATTTCCAGAGAGTAAGCACACAAAGCAAATTAGCTAGAATTCTAGAATCCAGTGCGGGTTGTAGAATTAGATAGTTGAATCCTGGTCGAGCAGACGTTGTAGAACCACAAGCACAAGAGTGGGACGAAAATACTGTTTGAAGGACATAGCTTTTACGCCAGCCTTTACCTTCTGTGATCAAGTTAGTATCATTGATATTCTTATATTAGTTTATGTATTTATTGTATAATTTCATTATGCACATCAAGTATTTTTGGTTAATAAAATATTAGAATTTCAAGTTCTGTTTATTTATGTTATTTTTTGTTTATTTCTGAATTGTTCTCCAACACCCCTAAGTTATTGTACCTACAATTTTTGTATCAATGTATTCACAACGTTATCTTTTCATAATAGCAATGCTCAAGTGGATTTGACATTATTGTTTAATTAGAAAAATGAACATCTAAATAAACTCTCTTGATACCAATCATTAACTACTTGAAGTTGATTTAAACTTAATCCTTAATCGCTAGGACCTTCAATGGCAAACAACATAATAGTTGTTTAGATCACATCTTCATTTTCGCCTTTCTCACGAAAAGACGCACGTCATGTGATTATGAAATAGTTGCAGTCCATAAAAAAGACTACGGTATTTATTACAAAGAGGAAAATAATGCATCCCAAACTCTCTCTTTATATATTTGGTTGAGATATTTAGTACTACTACCTAAGTGAGGGGTGTAGCATAGCAATGGAATTTTTTGTTTCAGTTTCATGCCTCGGGTTTGCTCGAGCGACTTCTGTTGCCAAGCACTCCTTTAGATCCGCCACTACCTGACTCATGCTTAGCCTTTCGATGGCAGTTGGAGATACGCATGCATTTGCTATTTCCACAGCTTTCCAGACTGAGTTAATATTGAATTTTCCTTCTAACCTCGGATCAACAAGACTGTAAATGTCTCCTTTTTGAAGCATGAAACTGAACCATTCACTGATGTAACTCCGCTCATGCGTTCTAGAAAAAACAGGTCGACTTGTGATAATCTCCAACAGTACAATCCCAAAGCTATAAACATCACTTTCTTTATTCAATCTGTTTGATGCGTAATACCTGCAAGCCAAACCATATACCTCAAATCGTATCATCCAATATAAAATGTTTTCCAAAATGATTTATAGTTTCTTTCTTCATTCTTCTTGTTGATTATATAATTTAAGTTTGTTTGCATATACAGTAAGGACATAAAGACGATGCCTCAAAAAAAATTAAAAAAACTCTTACTCAGGGTCAAGGTACCCGGGAGTGCCAACGGCATCAGTTGTTATATGCGTTCCATCCTCTGTAGGGAAACTTCTGGATATGCCAAAATCAGAGAGTTTGGCTTCGAATTTTTCATTCAGCAAGATGTTTGTTGATTTCACATCCCTGTGGATTATAGGCGGACTGCAGCCATAGTGCAGATACTCCAGTCTTGTTTTCAAAATCCAGACAAAACTTCTCAAAAAGTAGATCCCATTTCGTTATCAATAATGATTGGTATTTAAGCTACTAAAACTCAAGAGTCTCAAAGATTTGCTAACATACTCTCTAATAAAGTTCAGCCTTACGTACCGCTGTATGTGGGACGCACCTATATTAGGTGTATCATTTTTGTGTGCCTAAATAATACGATTGGTTAGTTATACAGACCTTGTGCGGCTTCTATTGCTATTTGAACTCTATCTCCCCAACTCAAGATATTTGATCTGCTACCTGCGTCCATAAAAAAATATAACTATCTTATTTTATAAAGTCGGTGATCCAGGAAAATAGAATTATCAAATTAAGGACTACCAAAAATTTTTATAGTACTAGTTAATTAAGAAATGAATGGCAAATTTAGTACTGAGTAATTTCATTTGCATCAACCTGAAAGATGTTCTCGCAGGTTTCCATTGGCCATGTACTCGTAGATCAGGCCTATGTTGGTTTCATCATTGCAATATCCAACAAGACTTGTCAAATTTCTATGATGAACTCTCATAAGAAGATCAACCTGTAATTTAGTAGTTCAGAAGCGCTACATGTAATTTAATAAGATTAATATTGATCCTAAAAACTGTGGGATTTGTTTATTTAATATGACAAACATGCCTCTGTGAGAAATTCCTGAAACCCTTGCACTGATGACGGTGAAAGCATCTTGACAGCTACCTGAGTGTCGTCTATGTGGCCGTGATAAACTGTTCCAAAGCCGCCTTTTCCAAGAACCCTCTTGCATTCCTCTGTAATCTGTACTATCTCAGAGTACGTAAACCGTCTCCCTTTTCGCTCAAATGACCCATGCTGAATGGCTACATTTGCATCTGTGCTATTTCCTGCAATCATAACATTTTTCATAAGCATCTTATACAATCAAAACCTTCTGTTTGTGATTATTTATTGCAGAAGAAGATGACATTAACAAATATGGAATCTTACCAAGTCGCCTTTTCCTTTTAGAAGCAGCCCGACACCAGATAGCTGCTGCACTTAGTAAGAGGACTGACAGTGCAACAACCGAAACAATCATCATCAGAACAAAAAAATTGTACTTCTTGTTCTTCTTCTTGTCGCAAGAAACATTTCCGGATAGGTTTGGATTTTCGCACAAACTGACATACGAAAATAATATTGTATTGTTTAATCAATTATGGTAAAAGATCATATAATTCCCAAATAAAACTTGTAACACATTTTCTTATATCTTTAAGTTTCTGCAGAATGGCACATCATTTTAAATTTCTAGGAAGGAAGAAGTTAAAAAAAGAAAAAAAGACTGGTGGATTATATTTTGGGATGTGCTATCCACGCACCTATTTTTACTTTTCACATATCTTTTATTAATTTATGTTCGTTGATATTCGTTGATATTTATTTTTTCTATTTTAATATATAGTATTCTCTATTTTCTTCAACAAATATCCTCGTTCCGCAGAAAAAAGGGTGGCGCACCTTATTGATATGAAACCATCCTTCCATCTGTCAATGAGTACCGCCGGAATTGAGCCTGTGAGGTTGTTATTCTCCAAATTTCTGCAAAGGTAGATTAAGCAGTACATATATAGTTACCATGCTTTCTAAATGAGAACATATATATAAAAAGATATAGGATTAACGGAAAAATTAACTGAGATTTAAATGTAATATTTTCAAGAGGTTGAACTCAGTTTTGCCACATGTACATTTAATAAAAAAATTAATTGGGACTTAATAAATATGACATTTTCAATAGGTTAGGTACTTATTTGGAAAATTAAAAATAATTGATACGAATCTGAAATAACACTAAAAGGTTAATGAGTTTTATGTACTTAAAAGAAAATAAAAGGTCATCATTAGGTACTTTCAACAAATTTGTATTTAAAATAGAAAATAAAAATTGCTCAATGTCGATGGTGTCTCTCCGACGTCCTTTCACAAAAGGTCATCACTATTTTAAAACACATCCGGGAATTTTAGTTTTTTATTTTTAAAAGTAGCATCCACATTACTTTACTTAGTTTAAAGTAGGGGGACGGCACTGTTCAATTTTGGGTGCATTTCACTTTATTTACGAGCTTACCGGGGCTGATTTCAGCCCAAATTTCGTTTTATTTACAAAATTGCCACCTCCTGTTCATTCTTCGTTCGGTGAGACCAAATTGGGTTTGACTGATTAATGGGATTACACTCGATTAGACCGAATTGAATTGATGTTTTTTTATTTGAAGTTGAGGAGTCAGATTGGTGGGAAGAAATTCAGAGGCACGTCGTCTTCTAACTGGGTTGTTGTCTTCTTTCTTCACTTATGAGTTTTTCGGGTCGAAGGAGTCATCTGCTTCTTCTGGGATTTTCGGGGCCATATTTGCGCCTTCTTCCGGCGTCATTTATTGGTAAGTTCTAAAACCTTTGTAGACCTCATGTTCATTTCAGATGTTTGTATCAATTTTTGTATTATAATGGAATTGCAAATCAAGTATATCTTAGATTCTTAGGTCCGTACTCACCTTCCCACAACTATTATATTGTCTCTTGATTGGATGAATTTTTATAATTTCTTGGATCTACGGTTACAATGCTTTTTATAATTTCCTATATGCATCCTTTTTGTTCATTCATGATTATGTTGAATTTTTTTAAGGTTAAATGTGTCTTATTCATGTAGTTAAGGCTCGTGCATTTAAGTCCCGCAGCAATGCACGGACATTTTTTCTAGTAGCATCCATTTGTGCAAAAACTGGGTCATATTTGCATCATATCACCAATTTTAACGGATTTTTTAACAGACTTTGACCGCATGTGTAAAGTGAAAAACAAGTTGAGTTTTAGGAAGTTAAGTGACACAATTTAAGTTACATGGTGCACGACTCATATTGAGTTTCAAATGCGTAAATAAGCCTATAAGACAATAACAAAACACACACACGCACATACACATTTATAACAAAATAACTTACAAGACATTTAACGTCGGCATTTGTGACAAAAATTCTGGAATTGATCCTCTTAAGTTGTTGTTTGATAAATCCCTGCAATGAGCAGCTCAACTCATTTAACACAAACGGTTATGATGACTGAAATTCTTCCAGTATGATTCGTGTCATTTCTTTTTCGGTATAGTTGATCATTTGCCGTAGTATTACCGAGATATGTTTTCACACAAAATTACAGATTATTTAGATACACTTACAATGTCTGTATCATTGTTAGATTTGACAGAGAAGGAGAAATCTCCCCTTGTAATCCATTGGAAGACAAGTTCCTGATTGCAAAGTCCATAACGTCAATAAAATTATTACTGAAAATTAACCTGCAATTTGGTGTGAAGATATTTATACTTACAAGGATATAATTCTTGGGGGATCATTTCCATGATAGCTGCAGTTTAGACCATCCCATGAGTAAACTTGAGGGCTACAAGGATCTCCTTGCCAGTTCTTTTCAATATTATAGGTTGACTTGATCTTTGTGATTGCCACAACTAATATTTTCACAAGCAAACAGAGGATCTTAATAAAACTCACATATTAGGTGAGGCAATAAACTTTATAAGCTTGTGTAAGGAATCAATATGACTCACCATCGTCTTGGCTGGTATCTGATATTAAGAATTCTTTCACTTTATAAATCTCGTAGGCATTGAGGATGGGTGGAAGGGTAGAGTTTCCAGTCTTTATAATTGACAAATTATTTTGTACTCTTGATCCACTCAAGGATTCAGCGGTACAGAATATTGTCGTTGTGGACAAATAATCAGGAGCAAGTGTCCCATTACATAGCTCTCCGTTTGTCGTAATGTTGAACTGTCTAGACTGGTTGGGTTGGAGCTTTCCAACTTCTGCAAAGTGCAAGTAAACATGATATACTTCTGTGTCAGGCTCCCAGAAAATATTCAACGACCTATTTGAAGTATTTGGTGTTGCAGCTGTGCCCATCACGATGGATGGCGGTTGATACTCGAATTCTGAATTGATGGTGGATGAGGTATTTAAATTTGTCCAAGCGCCTTGGTTCTCCAAGTAACTCCAGAATCGATCATGAATATCATATGGATACCTATACAAATAAAGGTATTGCATCAATACATGCATACAATGTTGATGAATGTAATATTTCCTACCTCGAAAACTAGACAGAATATAAATTGCTAATTATAAATGATTCTACAACTATTTAACACTAAATCATTTCGTGAAAAAAAAAGGATCCTGCCATACCGTATATGTGGTTAAATTGAGAACAATAGAAACATGTAAATCACTTACCTATATCCCCAAAGGCCAGATTTTAGACCAGTGTCACACCGCCGGAGAAGTGGTAAGGACCCTTTTTCTGTTTTGTACGAGGCATCGGTTAAAGGCCTGAGATCTATAGATGATATAAATGGAACCCCGGAGCCTGTCTCCACCAGACAAACATGTACATAGTTTCGCAGAGGGACATGTATGAGCTCAAGCTCGATATTATTCTCTGTTTCAAACTTCACTGTATCCCACAAGTTAGGTCCAAGATGTATCTCAAATTCGGGTATTTCATTTTGTTCATCATAATTCCCATAAAAGAAACCTGCTCTGATCAAATACTTGGTTTTACTTGTAACATTTATTTTGTAGCAGTTTCGGATTCCTTCAGGGAAGCTTCTAAGAGAGTTGTATGCCAGGGAATACTTGTTTCTGTATTCAGGCAACACAAGCTTCCGTTCACCAGTGGCTACGAAGTTTTCATCTGAAATATAGGTAATGCCTGACGGATCGTCATTATACCTGGAATCTTCCCCTAGGCCACAATCTATGCTAATGAAGCCTGGCACAGATATATTACAAATATAAGAAAAGAGTTCTTAATTGTTTATTAACTTTAGGGTTTTTATAACAAATGATCCTTGAAATTGATTTCTGAAATTAAAAATTGATCAATGTATTTCTTAAAAATAAGTATCACAGATGGTCATTCTGTCACAATATTTTCTCTGTTAAGTTTTCAAGCATGAATTAGTGGCTTGTGAATTTGGGGAAGAAGAAGGGACGACTTAATTCCTTTTTTTTTTTTTTTTTACTATTAATAGTTAATCATGTTTCTCTTATGGGACACATGTCAATCTTTAGAGGGGGTGCTGAGCGTGTCCTAGAGTTTTGGTTATCTCCAACTAAACTAATTAAAGGGTTATAGGTCAAAACATAGTTTATTTTGACACAAAACCCATCTCCATTAGAAGGATGGGCAAAAAAAATTGGGACCCACCAAGCTAAAATATAGCCAAATGGCCAAAGGGTTGGACAAACAGAGTTAACCAGTCAGCCTTGAAAGTTGGGTCTAATTATGTTGCTAGCTGACGTCATGTATCATTTTTTATTCTTAAGACGAAATTTAAAAGAAAAAATTAAAAATTCTATTTTTTCCTATAAATACCTAAGTCATTTCTACATTATTTCTCACATCCTTTTCATTATTCCATACTATCTTATCTCATTTTAATGTTTAAGTTGTTAACATGCAAGTAAAATTAAAATATTTAATAACATAAAACTCAAAACAACATTTAGCGACAAGTGCTCTTCAAAATATGTTCGGAAACTTTATTTTAATATAAGAGTTTAATTCGATTAACCAAGAAAATTGAAGAACAAACTTAAAATAATAAATTATTGAGGAAGCTAAAAAAATAGCACCATTTGACTGGATATTGTATATAGATATAGCATGTTACTGTTTATTAAAAAAATAATTTTTTGTAGGGATATAATCTGAACAGGGTCTAAAAGTAGCCCTTTTGAATAGAGATGGTCTTAGAGTGATGAGCAAAAATGTTCCCATTAAATATTGCCATGTGAATTGAAAATATTTAAATAATAAAAAATAATTTTTATGTGTATAATTAAAAACTATAAATAAATAAAAAAAACAGTACTTCATCTTCTTCTTCCCCACCAATAATTTGTTTTTTCAACAATTTTTCGGATTTTTGTGGGGATAATTAAGGGGTAGATCTCATGGGCCTTTGTCCTACGCTTTTCATAGCCAATGGCAGCACATGGGACCTGGATTTTGTTCCACGGCCACCTCTTCTTTCAGATTTGAGGCCAATAAACAAACTAAAACCAAGAACTCAAAAAGATTCAATCATGGGAAAAATGGTCGACGAAGACAACAGAGTTGCTTTCTTAGATATTCAAGGCCGCATGATTGAGCTCACTGTGAAATTGATGGTGGAGAAGAGGGACGGGGTCAGGGACTATTTTGATGGGTGGGTCAATTTCAAAGATCATTTACGATAAAACCCTTAGTTTTATTATAATAATGTATTTAGAATTCATACCTGATTGATCTTGGGCATGAACTAGGAGCAAAAGATTGAAAGCAAAACCACCAAGCTGCGCTGCAAAGAGGAAGAGTTGCTTCATTGTCCGTGACATCTTTGGAACACAAGACACCGAATATTGGTTCCGTAGCATCTCATTTTATATAAGAGCAAGGCTGCACAACACACGGATTGGTTCCGAAGTATATCATCGTTCTCCCGTCGATACGCTAAATGTTATTAGTGATCTGAATGTGAAATGTATACAGTCGCCTTAGAAATGATGTCTGGTTGATTAGAAAATGTGATAGGCTCTGTATCCAGTCAAAACTGTTCTGGAAAGTTGACTTCATAAGAATACTTCTGGAAAGTCGTCTCGCATATGATGTTCGAAAGTATATCAACCATTTCTTGCTATATGCTCATCATACATATTATCGTTTGTCACATGTTTTTTCATTTAATTCTGATTACTTTTCGTTTTTAAATTAAAAAAGAAATATTTACTATAAAAGCTAACCAGAATTAGATGAAAAAACACATTACAAATGATGAGGTCTATGATAAGCAATGCGCATACACTATATAGTTTATGGTGGTAAGGATAAATGATTTGGATCTGCTCTGGACCTTAGTGTTTGGAACCTTCTCATCCATTAATGTGAGCTACACAAATTGAATCCAACGGTCTTCTTTAATTCATTTTCTTGACTCATCACATGCAACCAACGAAATTGATTTGATTTGCACATCAATCAGTGATCCAGATTTGTGGATGAGAAGGCTCCAGATATTAAGATCCGAAGCGGATCCAAATCCAAGGATAAATGCTCCAAACTTTTTTAGAACCAATCACAGGAATTGCCTTTTACTCTATAACTGGAAGATAAATAAATAAAGGCTTTTTTTTTTTTTTTTTTTCCTTCAAAAAGTAGATATTATTAAATATGAATCGAAATATTTACATCAAATATTAGAAAGTTAAACAACTATTCAGGTTCAAAACCATCCCACAAATGACTACCCACACGCTTATTTATGCTAAGACATTTGAAAATCGAGGACCCGTGATTCCTGGTTTGAATGAGGACGCCATAATGGGAGTAGGAAGAGTCAATGGACGTTAGGGCTCTAATTGCGTGTCAATCGAGGTCTCAGTCTTCATTTCGTGAATGTAGGGATGTCCAACGTTGGGAAATGGAATTGGATCCTATCCCGACCCCAAGGAGAGGATCTCGATCTTGGAAAAAGAGTTCCTTTAAAGTTATAATAACTATAGTCGTTGGATGAAAATCCAACGATTCAAGATCCTTGGTCAGGAGGATCCTCTCCTTGGGCTCAGGAGAGGATCCAATTTCTTGGGAAATACCTGTAAATGAGGCGAGATGTGGGGGTGCAAATGCAATGGGATACGTGCATCACTCTTAATGAGGAGAAATTTGTCAGTATAAACAATACATAAAGTGATATATCATGTGTAACTATGCAAATGATGGTATACGTATTTTAAAAAATTAATAACTTTAAAATAAAATTTCTCATTGCTTATGTAAATATTTGGAGCTCATTTAAAGCATGTTTCTTCGGTGGATTAGAATGAAGTTGGGGTGGTTTGTAGGCCCATGACGTTGGGCCAGGAAGTAAATTTGGGGTTGATGAAGAATATTATGGTTTCGAAGCAGCAAGAAAAAAGCATTGGGAGATAGTTGGACGGGATGTGTGCAATGGGATTCGGTCTATGATTCAGTCAGGACATGCTTTTTAAGATGGCTTTTTAACTAAAATAGTTTCTGAGATTTGCATAACTCCTCACTTTGGTCCCTAAGATTTCAAATCAATAGAAGTGGTCCATGAGATTGTCCATCATCCATCATTTTGGTCATTCCGTTAAAAATTCCGTTAAGTGTCCCACAACTCTTGGTCGGAAGTTTGAGCAATTTTTAAAGTTTCGTAACTCAATTATTTCTTAACCAAATTTGAC